CCTTGTGTATATGTACAAGGTACTGAATCTCATCAAAAAACAAGAGACGGAGAGAAATAACAAATGACTGCTCTGAAAATTAAACTGGATAATTCTGCAAAACTCCTAATAAGGTACCTGAAACACAGCAAGTACTGAGTAAATAGCAGCTATCCCTCAAAATTTTCTTCTGAACCATCTCAATTTTCTATACATGTATACAAATTACACTTTCTCAAATGATATACCAAATTCTTTAAAAATTAAAGGTGACAAAGACTTTTAAAGTTGTATCATTTTGGCACAATTGACAAATGTTCAAAAATTATAATCGAATCATTCAACTTGGGTCATATTATGTAATATAGTTGAAAACTCTTGGGAAATTTAAACAAATACTAAAAAATTGACACCCAACTGCTTAATTAACAGTAGAATTATAGGCATATAATACAATCTAGTAAATATATGAAGCTAATTTGGTTAACTCAAATCTCAATAGGGCATATGTTAAACCTACCGCTTTAATTCCACAAATTACTGTAGTATTTCCCAACTTCACTAAAGCAGAACCATCTGCAGTGCTAATTGAACCTGAAAAGATAAGCAAAATGAAAAATATTCAAAAGGAAAAGAGCTACAGAATTATCTAATAATAATTAAGTGTTTCTGGGCATAGTGGCTCACACCTGTAATCCCAGCACTTTGGGAGGCAGAGGTGAGAGGATTGCCTCAGTTCAGGGATTTGAGACCAGCCTAATTAACATGGCAAGACCTCGTCTCTACAGTAAATCAAAAAAATCAGCTGGGCATGGTGGCACACATCTGTGGTTCCAGCTACTTGGAAGGCCGAGGCAGAAGAATCACCTGAATCCAACAGGCCGAGGCTGCAGTGGTCATGAGTGTGCCACTGTACTCCAGCCTAGGTGACAGAGTGAGACTCTGTCACACACAAAAATACAACAATAATAAATAATTGTCTTAGTTTCCTATATACAATTTACCTTGTTACACATCTCAGTTACTTATGAAAATCTATTTCAAGTTGATTTTCAAATGATATAACTTATTTAAAATTAGTATTTTAAGAATCATTTACCTGTCCTAGAATTTGAGATAATCATTTTCATTCAATCACAGAGCTGCTGTACAGATAAAAATCTCTTGACACAAAATCATCAAATCCCTTAAACATGGTAGAATTTGGCTGAAAAATTGTTTAACTGGCTCAGACACTAGGAAAAAATATCATCCAATTGGAACTGAAAATTATATCCTCACCTATGTTGACAGTTGTAGTTCTGAATTCACCAAGCTCCCTTCCATCAGGACGGCAGTTCTCTTTCTAAATAAATATTTATATGAAAATTTATTACGTATTTTACACGGTATCTGAAAGGTACCTATAAAACCTAGAAGAAACTTAGCTTATTCTTTAGTCTTTTTGCCTCAGTGTAACGATTAGCAAGCATTCAGACATTCTACTGCAGGACAACCAGCAGCCAATCCCATCATCCCTAGGCAAATCTCCTTCAAATACAAGATCAGGACAGCCCAAACAACCACCCCACTTTTGGTCAAGGAATTTGTGAATTGTAAATGCCTAACAAGTCTCTTGCAGGAATCACATTCCCCACCCAGGGTTAACCTAATCACCTGTGGTGACACAGATAAGCTCCACCATGGCAGCAATCATGAGACTAATCCACCCATCTGCCTGCTGTCCATCACCTGACATCATCAGTACCTGCACTTGTCTGCCCCTTTGTGATGATGTGGAAGCAGACCACCACCCAATCACTTTAATGATCTCCCCCCATCAAGGGGAACGGTTAAAAGGACTCAACCACAAGCAACCAGCGGCCACTGCCTTGCTAGAGTCTGGTGTGGCCAATGCTTCCTGGCTTTGGTCCCACTCCCCCACCTTGGGGAGGTGAATCTTCTCTCTTCTTTCTCTTCTGTAATTTACTTTTAAATAAACTTTTCTTTCTTAGCCTTTTTGTGTGTCGCAATTCTTTGCAATTTACTCGGATCTCTGGGTTCCCAGCGTGCACCTCCGGGTTGCCAGCCCTGGCGGTACTGCACACCACGCCTCACCTCTGGACCCTCACCCAGTCTGTCGGTACCCTAACAGTATCTATTACATATTCTACCCACATCTGGGGAAACACATTAAACCTCACTATTTTAAATTTAAAATAAGTTCAAATTACTTAAAATTTATCATTAAAAGGATATGTTATCAAAAGATCTAACATGTACATAACCACCTATACTCACCAGAAATCTCCTGTAATACTCCAGAGGTTCCACGGTTCTGAAACACATTAAAAATATATGAGATAAATTAATGAGGTAAGTTAACATAATCCCAGAAGCTAGCAAAGATCTTAATAGTGTGATGATGCAGTATAAATCAATTTGTAACCAAAAGTAATTACAGAAAGTAGAAACCACTGCAGTAGTAATCACGTTCAATTGTCCTTAACTCCGCTTTCAATAACTACAAGATTGGAGTCCACAGCCCTTTGACTTTTTTAAAGGCCGATTAATCCAGGTGTTAAAATAATTCTGCCTCTGAAGCAAGGATTAACGTAGTGATTATGAAAAAAGTTACATCTAAGTAGACAATCCAGGAGATGGAAAAGTTACATCTTTATTTTCACTGTAACTGAAACTTAGCATATTTTTCAATTATGACAGTAGGCAATAAACAATTAGAATATTAGCAGTACTGCAACTTCAACCACCACAAAAACCATGGACATTTCATTTTCACTTTATAGTTGTGGAAGGTATGTTTAGGTTCGTGGTTACTTTGGAATTCCAGAAATTACTAGACTCGCCACTAGATCTTGTTCAACAAGTTAATTTTAAAACCAGTGTGTGTGTGTGTGTGTGTGTGTGTGTGTGTGTATAACTATATCATCAATCTGGAGTTTATACACATAGAAAGATAACTACTTCAACATAATAGGTTTCCTTTAGAATCTTATTTATTTATTTATCTATCTATCTATTTATTTATTTTTGAGTTGGAGTCTCACTCTATCGCCCAGACTGGAGTGCAGTGGCCGCTCCCGGCTACCGCAGCCTCGACCCGCTGGGCTCCGGCGACCTGGAACTACAGGCGCGCACTACCACGCCCGGCTAATTTTTTGATTTATTGTAGAGATGAGGTCTCGCCAAGCTGCCCAAGTGGGTCTCGAACCCGCGGGCTCAGGCAATCCACTCACCGCAGCCTCCCAAAGTAGAATCTTATTTATTTTATCCATCAAATACTTTACTCAGAAAGTCCATAGGCTTCACTAGAGGCACCAAAACTGGCTTTAAGTAAAACCTTCCGACGAAGAACTACCCTTTTAAAATAAAGGGAGAGAAGACCCGGCGGCATGTATTTCGGCCGCAATAATCTTGAAAAGATTACAACTGCGTCTCCGGGAACTACACGTTCCCCACGCGCCAAGCTCACAGGCGCTCGCAGCGCGGGTCCTGAACTCCCCACGCGAGTTTCACTGGGAGAAGGACGCTCTTTCCTTTCACTACGACCACCCCCAGGTCCCACCGCCAGTCGCCTGCTTCGACACGGCAAGTGGGATTCCGGCGGGTCGGCCTCCAAGTGAAAGAATACCAGCTAAGGGTTCAAGGGAGCCGCCACGCGCCACGGTACACAACTTCGGCCCGGCAGCAGCCAACACTCACTTGAACCCAGCCGCCATCTTCCCGCCTGCACGCCTGCGCCGCTCCTCCTGCTCGCACGTCTGCGCCTGCGCGCTCCTCCCCTCCCCCCGCCCTTCGCGCCCGCTTCGCCGGGGCACTTTCGACACCGACGCCCGAGCCCTCCCGCTGCAGAACGCGACTAAGGCCGGGATGCGACGAGCGTGCTCACCGGCACGCGTTTGCATCGACCTCCCCTAGCCAGGCGCCCTTCTAGGTTTCCTTGTCATACACCTATTTTGACGAATCTGCTATGAGGGAGGTGACAAATTGTCCCTCTTTGGAAAAAAGCTGGTACTGTAGTTAGAATAATGCCAATTGTTAAGAAAAAGAGAGATTTTAGCGAAAAATCAAGCATTGCGTGGGAGCATTATTCCAATGTCTCTGCGTCTTTTTCCCGCCTGTGTCTTAGCCTGGGTCCTGGGCTTGCCTCTTCCAGCACCTGAGAACCACGAGATGACCGTGCGCTCCTCCGCACCAGGTTACACTCGGCAGGTCCCTGAGCTGACTTCAAAGGATCAAATTGTGTTTCGACTATGTCGTGGTTCATGGCTTCCACCTCACTCCTACGTAGGGTTGCCAGGTAAAATACAGGACACCCGATTACATTTGAATGTCAGATAAACACGGTAATTTTTTTAGTATGAGTATGCCCCAAGTAATGTATACTATTGGTTCTTACCAGAAGTTGGGGGGAGCAGGGAAAGTTTCAGAGATAGATAGTGGTGATGGCTGCACAGCATTGTGAGTATAATTAATGCCACTCACTGCACTGTGCACTTCAAATAGTTAAAAGGGCACATTTTGTTTTATTTTACCATCATTTAAAAATTAGTGTAATAGATCAAAAATCTTTAAATGAGTGAATTGCACCGTACGTTAATAGCTCGATAATAAGGCTGTTAAAAATTCTTAGTTGTTTATCTGGACTTCATACTCCCGTATTTTACTTACTAAATTTGGCAACCCTTTGGAACCCAACACCTATCTCTCCACGGACTGGGCGCCTCGCACACTCGGGAACTGCATGTTCTCCGCCCGGACACACGGCGGCGCTGCGGGAGGCGGTTGGTCCGCGGGCAGCGCTGTCTCTCTGGCGGCGGGAGGCGGAGCCTCGCGGGCGCGCTTCCGCGTGTGTGTAGGTGCGGGATAGGGTGGGCCGCGGGGCGGCCCCGGCATGGAGGATGGCGCCGCTTCTGCTGCAGCTGGCGGTGCTTGGCGCGGCGCTGGTTGCCGTGGCCCTTGTACTGGTGAGGACGCGGGATGGGGGCCGCCGCGGGCCGAGACTCGCCGCTCTCCGGGAGACTGCGGCCCCCCAAGTTCCCTCCGCCGCTCTTGAACGTTTTTCTCTTTTCACCCATCTTCCCGCAAACTCTTGACCCCAGGACTTCCTCTCCTGGAATTTCAGTCCCGTCTTCTTCTCTTCCTTGTTTTGCTCTTGGAACCTTGTCTCCCTGTGTGCTCCGAGGCTTGTAAGTTTGTCACGTGGGGACGCGCCCACCCAGCCTTCCATCCCGCCTCGCTCGCCCCTGGTCCCCGGGCCCGGGTCCGCCTCAACCTTCCTTCGGGGCCTGCAGCCGCCGAGGCGCTGACCCCACCCGGGGAGACCTTGAGCCCCTAGAGCAGGTGCTCTCTAGACGCTCCCTCTTGCTAATGTGGCTAAGTAGATAGTAAGTGGTGATGGAGCATTGACCGCAGCCATCTGTTAGAGATGGAAATAAATCGGATCGATAAGACCCGTTGGGGACGCAGGGTGAACAAGAGAGACAGGACAGGCCTCTCCATGTGACCGTATGTTTGGGGATTGTTGTGCCCCAGAACTGAACACCCTAAATATGCTGCCTCTGAAACGAGCAAAACAATATAGATTTATACTCGGTTTTCTTTGCCATTGCTCTGGAAACACAAAAGCGTTGTAAATACCTGCTGATCCGGAAGTGATAGAATTGTGGAAGAGAGTTGCCAAGTGAACTCTCTTCCACATAATTTGGCCTGAACTTGCCATCTAGTTAGTAAGTGGAGAGGATTTCAACTTCCTTGACATTTAGCCGCGTGGACAGTCTTGCCAGCAAGGCTGCTTCTGCCGTCTTGGGGGTTGGTAGACAGTGTAAACTGGCAGTTTAGGAGCAGTTTAGATGGAGAAGATGCATTGTATCCTGACGGCTTTGTTGCTGTTTACAAATTTTTGAGGAAGCCAGGTTTTTGGTGGGGCAGAGGCTGACACAGCCCTAGATTGAAGCTGCCCAGTGTTGAATCTGTTGCACAGGTTTAAATGTATACATTATGAGATGGTGCTGACATTATTTGATCCCACTGGTTTGATCATGAGGGCTACCATTTATTGAGTACAGTACCTTGTATGTTGGATAGTGTATTCAGTTTAGTAAGGATTATCTCATTTGATCTTTTAAACAACACTGTGACATAAATGTTACCATTAGCCTCATTTTACTGGTTGAGGAACAGGTCAGAGAAATGAGCTCATGTACTCAAATATCACACAACTATTGGATCTTAGGTGTTGGATTTTTGTTTGTTTTTGAGTTGGAGTCTCATTGTCTCCCAGGTTGGAGTGCGGTGACACAGTCATGGTTCACTGCAGCCTTGACCTCCTGGGCTCAGGTGATCCTTCCACCTCAGCCTACCAAGTAGCTGGGACTAGAGGCGCACACTATCACGTTCACCTAATTCCTTTTTTTTTTTTTTTTTTTTTTTTTTTTTTTTAGTGAGGAGGTCTCACTATGTTGCCTAGGCTGGTCTCGAACTCCTGGGCTCAAGGAGTCCTCCTACCTCAGCCTCCCAAAGTGTTGGGATTACAGGTGTGAGCCATGGTACTGGCCAAAGATTTTTTTAAAATGCCAGAGCCAGAAATCATTAAAGTAAAACAAAATGGAAAAAAATCCACAAAAACCCTTATCTTGTTTCATACATATCCACTCTTTATTCATACTTTATCCTACCTCATCTCTTTTCTGAATTATTTTAAAACAAGCCCAAGATATAACATTTTATCTGTAAATCCTCAGCATTTATTTCTAACAGATAAGAACCCCCTTTTAAAAACAGAAACCACAATAAGGTGGAAATCAGAGGTTTGTTTTTTTTTTAAGTTCAGTTATTATTCCATTATTTCAAATGCCCCGTCAGTTTACATGCCTTCAGTTGTCTCATATATGTCTTAGTATTAATGTATATGTCTCGGTTTATCCCAGTCAGGATCCAGACAAGGGCCATATGTTGTACTCGATTTATATGTCTGGCATCCCTTAATCTACTAAGTTTCTCCTTTTCTTTGTCTTTAATTAATGTGGCCATTTGTCCTATAGAGTTTCTGACGCTCTGGATTTCACTGATGACACTGCTTGATGTCTTTTAACATCTTCCTCTATCTCAAATTTCCTATAAACTGGTAGTTAGGATCTAAAGACTTGATCAAATACATGTTTTTGAGTTTTTAAATGAAAAGTTTGTGAGTGGACTGCTTACTGCTTTCTCTTGTATCACATCAGAGGCATGTAAGGACTAGTTGTCTCTGGTGTTAAGATAGATAATGGTTTCAGGTGATGCCAGCCAGATCCACCTGTTACAGTTTGTCATCAACTTCATGGTTTTAGTAGTCATTGATGGTCCTTACCTAAGTGCTTTATTTCACTGTGGGTTGCAAAGTGGAATATTCTCATTGTGTCATTTCTTCATTTATTGTCTAGAATTTTATAATTAAAAGAAGCTTATCCTCAGCTATTTAATTATCTGAAGTACCTTTCTTATGTAATAGGTAGGGTTTTGCTTTTTTTTATTATCATTGTGAATTCATGATTTAAAATATTTTTATGTGTTTTGGTCCACTGCAGTAATTATTGTTTTTGATGCTCAAATCTTCCCAGCACAGGTCAGTGGGGGCTCTTCAGGTTGACTGCTTTGTTCTTTCAGCACAGCCCTTGTAATCATTGGTAGTGTCTTTACTTTCTGGTATGATATACTATTCAATCATTGTGTATTTCCTGCCCCAGATCTGAATTAACCATTCTCTTAGGAGCACTGGTTCCTTTTAGTGGGAAGCTGAATTTAGAAATCACACTCTGAACACTAGAGTGCAGAGCAGGAACTCTTATCCACTGCCTCTGGTTACTGTGCCTCTGCTCATACTAATCAGAAACATATTCAATTTCAGTATGTACCCAATAGAATATTATAAATGGTAATCAATTACAAATGAGTAGCATTCCAAAATGTGTAGATTGGTTTGAAAGCAGAAAGTATACAAACAGAAACCATATTACAAAGAATGGTTATTTCAAAAGCTTAGCTTCCAAGTACATATGGAAGGAAGCCTGTAAATTTGGTACTTTACTCCAGAAAATGCTGTATTCTGCACTTAAATTTGGGTATCAAGAACATTCTTCCCTCCATATCCTGGGTCTGCATGGTCCTGGATGAGAGATCTGCCCTCACCCTACATGTTCCAATTGCAATTATAAACTTGTCCTCTGCCACATACAGGCTCCAAGTAGGGATGGGCCTCTCTGCATTGTTGTGTCTGTGTGTGCACACGGTGGGCATCAGGGTTTTGGGGCATCTAAGAGTAGATTGGATTTCCTGTGATGACTGTTCCGTGTTAGGTCCGGGATGACAGAGGCCTGAGGAGTGACAGGTGGGAAGAGACAAGGAGCCTCCTGAGGCACTAGCACCTTCCTAATGGCAAAAAGGATAGTCATCGGTGTAGGAAACTAGTTAGGAGACTGAGTTGTCGAACTTTTGGATCGCCTCCAGTCCATTGTTCATTGTTAATAGATTAAAAACAGTGAATATTCTACCAAAAGAAAATCATGTGATGATATAGTCTAACATAAATATAAAAAAGATCAGCATAACATAATTTCTTTCTTACATATCTGCTTTTAGATTTCCATTGTTGCATTTATAACTGCTACAAAAATGCCACCACTTCATCAACACGAAGAAGAGAAGTTCTTCTTAAATGCCAAAGGCCAGAAGGAAACTTTACCCAGCATACGGGACTCACCTACCAAGCAACTTTCTGTGGTCGTGCCTTCATACAATGAAGAGCATCGGTGTAAGCCCTTGCTTGATTTTGGGTAATTTGGGAAGAAAAGGAAATGTAAAGTTTGACATGACAGTCTTTGACAGAACATGAATAGATGTGGGCTGTGGTGAGCACATAGCTGGTAATTGTAGTTCAGAAAAGAGGGGCGTGCATATTTGCTGCCATGAATAGGAGCAGCGTTGTGAGCAGCAGGACTGAAGTATCCCAGAGAGGGAATAAACAAGGCATGAACAGAAGGCAGATATTCCAGAGGGGAGTGGCCATTGAGGGGAAGCCCCAGAGGAGCTTGTTAGATTATAAGGAAATTTCCTCAGTGTAAACTGAGTGTGCTGGGCTTGGAAAATCATTTTCGAAAACAATTTTTAATATATTTTTTCCTTTAAGTGCCTGTGATGATGGATGAAGCTCTGGGCTATCTAGAGAAGAGACAGGTATCATGTTTTCTTTTTAAATATGATGTCTCCAATTAAAACTAGACCAAGTCACCAACTTGTGGACCCCAAGCTAAAAAGTACTGGGAGAGGCAGTACTGGCAGGACCCTGGTCACAAGGCCACCCCGCTGCTCAGCTGGCTGCTAGCCAGTAAGCCCAGCACTAGCCCACTCCTTCAGAGATAGGCAGGTAACCCCAGGACACACTGGAAATCTAAAATTGCTTTTTCTTTACCCTGCTTCTCACTTTCTATCCTCTCTTGCCTGATATATACATATTTGAAATTATGTGACACTTTGACATACAATTTGAAGTTGTATGCATACTTTGTATGATGGGACAATGCTGTTTTTACTTTTGTGACTTATAAGAAAGAGGTATATTTTTTAAAGACTTATGCTTAAGTTGAAATTATTTTGTATTTCTTTGTCACTCAAGTCCCCTCTCGTGTATTTTCCTCCTCTTTTCCCTACGTAAAGAGGAGAAAAGTAATACACAGCAGTCTTTTGTAGCACCAGCTGCTACTGGAATCTCCTTGGAGAGATTCAGAACTGAGTTTTTATAGCTGGTAAAAAAAAAAAATCCTTGTTTTGGTATACTTTGCTTTTAGGTTTTTTTTTTATAAAGGGAAGGTAGAGGATTCAATGAAAGAGTAGGAGTTGTATTACCTACTCCAAAAATTAAATTTAAAGAAAAGAGGAAGGGAATTGAACCTTAATTATATGTGAGGCTTCCACCTCTTCTATTACATGTAACCTTCAAACCAGCTACATGGACTAGGTTATTCTGTTTTTTGGTTTTAATTTAAAATGGGTCCAAAAGTTAAGGTGCCCAAGGTCACTAGGCTACAAAATGCTGCAGCCAGGTTGGCATCTGCTCTCTCTGACTTCAAAGCTTAGGAGCTTTTTTCTCACACACTCGTAGCCTCAAGTGCCATGGCACCACAAGGGCCTGCCTTCTTCCACCAGCGTGGTGCAGGGTGGCAGGGGAGAGCAGAAAGACATGGAGGGATTTATTCAGTTTTCACCTTCTGCTCCTGCTGTATGCTCATTATGCAGGTGCCCTTGTTGATGAGATGTGCTCCCCTCCCAGAAGATTCCCACTACTGCCAATCCTTTTCTTACACTATTACTATAATTGTTCAAGGTCTGCTTATGAGTGAAAACATATGGTACTCACTTCTTTGTTTCTGTGATAGATCACTCAGTATTATAATCTCTAAGTCCATAATTGTTGCTGTGAAGTTCATGTCTCCCCTTTTTTTGTTCTTAGTCTTTTGATTTCACATATTTGTGCACTAATGAATATATATGTATCAACGCTAAAACAATTATTTTTTAAACTTCTTACAACATTATTAGAATTCTTGATGGCAGTTATACCAATTTGTGTTATTTTACTTTTGCTTCTTGTAGAAACATGATCCTACATTCACTTATGAGGTGATAGTAGTTGATGATGGCAGCAAAGACCAGACTTCAAAGGTAATTGTGCCTGCTTTTAGAATTGCCAATAGATAGAAAATATAGAATGATTCAGCACAAACAAAATCTCACTCCCATTCACTAGTGACCCTAAAGCAATGCCTGATACTCTCCATTGCTATTGTGTGGGCAATAGAAAAACAGAGAGGCCTCGTTTATGGACATAGAACATATCCCCTCTGTCTCTGTCCCACTGCTGCATAACACCAGGGAAGCTTTCAAGATCACCAGATGGATAGGGAACATATCCAACCACAGTTCACGCAACCTCTCAGGAAACCCTGTTTGCCCACCAGTTTATGCTACCTTTTTTCATAAACATAGATCCTTTCTTCATGTTCTACCTTGACTTTTAATTTCTAAAGCAGTCATGAGAAATGTAAACTCCCTTCATATCTGTCACTGGGAGTGGCATAGAAAGCCTGCCTCGTGCACTTGCGGCTGAGATTACAGAAGCAGCTTCGACCCAGCTGAGGAAAAGCAGCTTCTCCTAAGGAGCACTTTTTTGGCCGCATTGGCCTGTGCATGACTGGCTGCTCTCCTGGAAGGATCAGAGATGCCGTCTCTTCAGCAGGACAAGTGAGGAGAGGCCCTACTGTTCCCAAGGTTGGAAGAAAGGGGAAACTTGAAATCATATTTAGTAGAAGCTTTTAGAAATAAAGACACAAGTTTCCTCTACGTTGAGTATTTATTTTGCCTGTTAGTTTCTCCCACTCTGAGGGTATGAGGAAAATTTGAGAGAGTTCTTATTCTTGAGGAGTTTTAGACTTAGGTGTGCACAAGAGAAGATTGCAATTGTACAGTGGCATTTATATACCCTTAAATAACATCAGAAAAGTGAATCAGCACTCAGTATAAACTAAATTCACAAATGGTGGGCAAGTGACAGCTGCTGTGATGTACTAAAGGGAATGCCATAAAGCGTCAATGTGTGTCTGTTCCAAACAGGTGTGGCTTCAACCATATTTACATTCTTCAAAGCTGGAATCACACTCTCTAAAGGGAGCCTTTCATCCTAACCAGTAAAGTTTTTTTGGTTTACTCAGCTACTTACACAGTGATTTTGTCTTTGTGGCTGTAGAGTCTTATAATGAATATCAAGCTTTGTGACGTCCAGAGTAAACATCTGCAGAGCAAATATTCTTTGTTTTTTGTTTTTGTTTTTGTTTTTGTTTTGAGTTGGAATCTCGCTCTGTCACCCAGGCTGGAGTATAGTGGCACACTCATGGCCATGCAGCCTTCACCTGCTGAGCTCAGGCAATCCTTCCACCTCAGCCTCTTAAGTAGCTGGAACTACAGGCACGCACCACTGCACCTAGCTAATTTTTAGATTTATTGTAGAGATGAGGTCTCGCCAAGTTGCCCAGGCTGGTCTCGAACCCATGGGCTCAGGCAATCTTCTTGCCTTGGCCTCCCAAAGTGCTGATATTACAGACTTGAGCCACTGCACCCGGCCTCTGAGTTCTATTTCTAACCTCCTAGGTCTGGCCTCTGTTGTCCTTTATTACTTCCATGGTTTCATTCTGGTCTGCTGTATTCTCACCTGGATGATCAAAGTTCTCTGCTACCTATGCTTCCTGTCTTCTATCTCATTCAATGTCTCCCACTCTCAATCTTGCTCAGATTGTTGCCCAGGCTGGATTCAAATTCCTGGATTTAAGTGATCCTCCCACCTCAGCCTCCAAGTGGTTGGTAGACTACAGATGTTTGCCACCATACCCAGCTTCTCCTTTTTAACTAGGCATAAAAATCTTTAGCCAGGCACAGTGATACATGCCTGTAGTCCCAGCTCCTTGGGAGGCTGAGGTGGGAAGATTGCTTGAGCCCAGGAGTTCTGGACTATAGTGCACTGTGCCGATCAGTTGTCCTCACTAAGTTCAGCATCAATATGGTGACCTCCTGGGTATGGGGGATTATCAGATTGCCTAAGGAAGAATGAAACAGCCCAGGTTGGAAGCAGAGCAGATCAAAACTCCCATGCTAATCAGTAGTGGGATCACACCTGTGAATATCCACTGTACTCCAACCTGGGCAACATAGTGAGACCCTGTCTTGGAAAAAAATTAATGAAAAGGAAAAAACATTTTTTTTTTGAGTCTCACTTTTTTGAGTTGGAGTTCTCTAGGCTGGAGTGCAGTGGCATGCTCAGGCTACCTCAGCCTTCCAAGCCGCTGAGACTACAGGTGGCGCCACCACACCCAGCTAATTCTTTTTATTTTTTTATTTTTTAATCCATTGTAGAGACAAAAATCTCACCAATTTGCCCAGGTTAAAGTTCCTGGGCTCAGGCAACCCTCTTGCCTCTGCTCCCAAAGTGGTGGGGTTACAGTCATGAGCCACTCTGCCTGGCAAAAACTTTAAAAATATATATTTTCCAGAAGTCCCTACCCCTCTCTACCCCTAGAATTCATGAGCCAGAACTTGGTGACATGGCCACCCAGATCTGCAAGGGAAGCTGGCAAAGTACTCAGTAAAGAGGAGTTAAGCCTATCATGATTCATCCCCTAGGGCTACACGTTTGTCACTGCAGAGTTGGGGACCTAACAGCAAGGAACAAGGAAGCATTGTTGGGTAGGGAGCTAACTAATAGTACCTATCACAGGGCTACAGTAGGAGTGTGTACAGAGGACCACACTCCTACTATATTTGCTTGTTGAGCCTGACCAATTCCATATGATGTATCAGCCACTGGAAATAATAATCTTTGCCTAAGTTGAGAAGGTCTATAGTAGCATTGTGTGATGAGTAACAGTTGAATGGGAGGATGTTTTAGGAGGAATATTACTATTAATATTAGAATTATACTTTTTTCCGGTGAAAGGTGAGGATGGGCATGGAAACTAGGAAAAAGAAATGGTGTTTGAGCCAAGTCTGAAACTGGCCTGACAGGTGAGGGTACTGGAAGACAGTGTTCTGAGAAAAGGCATAGAAGTGTGAGAGCATGGTATGTTCTGGAAATCACAAACATTGCTGATATACAAGGTACATCAATATCAGAAGCTGGCTGAAAAGGTTAGGTAAGGGCCAGATCACAAAGGTCTCCTGTCCTGTGATAAGGAACTCATAGAAGCAATGAATCGTCATTGAATATGTTGGAATGGGGCTAACATGAACAAATATCCATGGTCAGTGAGATGTGAGGGTGGCATGAAGTTGAGAAGCATTTTGGAAATCAGTTTTAATTTCTATGTAATGAGTTTCCATTTCCATTTAATGAGTTATAGCCTCCAGAGTTGTGATGGGTGATAGAAATGGAAGATTATTCCCAGACTTTTCACTTGAGTAGCTCGGTAGATGGTGATGCCATTTGCAGCAGTGAGGAATATAGACTGAGCAACAGTGAGAGGAAGAGATGAATGAAATTCTGGACATGTGACTAGGTGACGCAGGAGAGAAGCCTGGGCTATAGATCGACATAAGAGATTTATAAACATAAGTGGTAATTAAACCCATGCAGTAGCTCCCACTGAGCTTATATATTGAGAAGAGAAGGTGGCCAAGGGTTGTCCACTAGCTGTGTGGTTGTACAGCATAGGTTTATTCTTTGTGGGGATTATCAGCATTCTAGGAGCAAACCAAGCAAAAGGAGTTAGTGGTGAAAGTAAAAAGGAACAGTCAGGGGAGAAGGGCAAAGGCCAGATGAGAAATACTTTACAGTTACCTGTGGAAATGATTGTCAAAAGGAGAAGGTGCCTTTGATGGCGTAAGATTACATGGAAAGATGATGTAGAAAAGAAAAGGACATGAACCATATACTACAGTGGATTTGGGGAGTATATGCTTGATGAAGAAATGTAGATTGCAAATTTGGCTCATCACCATTTCATGACTGATTATAAAGCACCCCGAGCATGCCCAATCTTATATGATTATAAATAGAATAATGGCAGTCACTTATGATAATAGTGAAGCAAAGAGAAGGTTTTATGATGCTGGTGACTTAAGCAAGTCTAAGACTGTAGAGCTAATGGAGAGGAAGAGATGGAAGATCCAGAGAAGGACAAGTTATTGCACAGATACCTGCTAAGAGAGAAGAATTTGGGGGAAGTGGTCCAGAACACAGACAACCTCTCTGAGGATAAGACGCATAGCTGACCAAAACAAGTAAACAAGTCACTAACCAGTGTTGAGGGCCTGGTTACAAGTTTGTACTGGTCAGTTAGCACATGGCTTTTGTTTTTTTCTAGCAGCTCAGTAGCTTAGGTAGAGGAGTTAAGGAAAGGAGAGAGGGTCACTGCCTATTCTGGTGGTTTCTCTTCAGGAAACTGAACTGTGACTTCAGCCTAGTAGGTTAGTGTCATATCTTAGGTAGAGGAGTTAAGGAAAGGAGAGAGGGTCACTGTCTATTCTGGTGGTTTCTCTTCAGGAAACTGAACTGTGACTTCAGCCTAGTAGGTTAGTGTCATATCTTAGCACCAGGAATTCTACAACTCCTCTGGGCCACCAAAATGTACAATGGGTATGATCCAGTCACAAGAAGGGGTAAACTACAATAGCAGTGTTTGAGCAGGATTATCAGCATTCTAGGAGCAAACCAAGCAAAAGGAGTTAGTGATGAAACTAAAAAAGAACAGTTAGGGGAGAAACCCAATTTATATTATATAACTCTTAGAATACAATTAATTTTATTATTTTATGTAATTTGACAGGTAGCTTTTAAATATTGCCAGAGATACGGAAGTGACAAAGTACGAGTGATAACGCTGGTGAAGAATCGTGGGAAAGGTGGAGCTATTAGGATGGTAATACATATTTTCAACATTTCTATCTAAACTCTAAAGGTATTTAAAATAACCTCTTTTGCAGACTTGTACATGTGTATTCATTGGCTCGTTGAACACCAGTTTTCAAGTTAGTGACAACATATTTTCAATATTAACTTCCTACATTTTTAATCAAATCTAAAAATATACATATCTGTAACAAACTGGGTGATTAAGAAAAATATATTTTATGTTTATCTTAAGGTTTAAAATATTCTTATCTACATCTGTGCATCTTTGATATAGTCACCAGATAATAAGATAATGTGATTTTTTCTTTGCAGTTTTAAAAATGCTTTTTTGTATTAAGTTTTACCTATTTGGAGGCACTGTGTTACGTATGGTAGTGTGAACTAAGGTGAATCTTGAATCTGACTTGGGTCTATCCTGGTGAAATGGGCAGACTAGCAGAAAAGAGAGACATTTGCATAAGTGAAAAAGAAGATGATTGCACTTACAAGAGACATTTCAAAAAAGAATAGGTTACTTTTACCTAAGGCATATCAAGTAGGAATCAAGAGATGTGGAAATAAAGTTCAAAAAATCAAGATATGTGAAAGAAAACCCAAGTAATAGTGATATAAATGACTTATAGGTTTATTAGTTATTTTTTTTTCTATAAAAAGAAGTCCAAAAGTAGGCAATCCAGGACTTATTCAACAACTCCATGGTGTCATCAGAAATCTGGAGTCCTACCTTTTTACTCCCCTTTCCTCATGTGCACAGGTGACTCCGGGAGCGCCAGCCATTGCATTCACATCCAAACAGGAAGGGGAAGGGTAGAGGGCAAAGAATACGTGCCAGCTGGTTTCTCCCTTCTACGGGGCTTTCCCAGAAGTTCCACCTGATAACTTTCATTTACAAATCATGGGCCAGAACAGTGTCACAGAGGTCATAGTGCCACCCCTATTTCCAAGGAAAGAAAAGAACTATTTTTCTAATATTTTTATTCCCACCCAAATCAGGGTTTCATTCATAAGGAAGAAAGAAAGAATAAGTCTTGAGTAGACAACTAGCATCCTCACCCACATGAGGAAAATGGCAGACTTCAGAAAGGAGATGTCATTGAAGCTAGGGTTCCAGTGATGGTGAACACTGGCTTCTATGAACTGACTGCTTATTTTGAACTGGAGAGTAGGTGGTCCACTTCAACATAATTATCATATGTGGTCCTCCTCACAGTGTCTCATGAGATAATATACATGAAGAAAGTGAGGAATAGATGGGTAAGGTAAGTTACTCAAGGTCACAGATTTAAGAGGTAGAGTCAAGATTTGGATTAGGTTAATTTCTTGACATCTATGCTCTTAACCTCTCTGAAAACTATTGAGAAAGATTTGAGAAAAGGACATGCCATTCAGAAAATACAGCAGTGGGAATATTTGGGATGTGCACTAGAAATGGGTTTTCACTCTGACGGGCTCACAGGAAATGTGAAAGAGAAAGCATTGATGCAGTATCATGGTGGGCTTTTAAATCTATCCATTTTTTAATTTATTCAGCCAGTATTTTGCTTTATTAGAGATAAAGAGATGAAAGACATCCATTCTGTTCTTAAGGATATCACAGTTTAGCAGGGAAATAGACCGTTGCCATACAGTGTTAGAAATTCTACAGTAGAAGTATATGCAAAAATATTGGCATCACCCTTCATCTGGGAGAGGCAGAAAAGACTTCTCAGAGGAGGTAAATTCTGAATGGTCTTCAAAGACGATTAGGATTTGGTAGAGACAGGGGACTTAGCAGAGGAGGAACATGACCAAGGGCATGTGAAGGAACATACGCCGATAAAGGACCCATCATGGTACATGTGGCTTGACGGAGAAAAGGCTGGAAGGGTGGGTGGGTTCGGTTCTGAACTGTAGACTAGGGTTTTTTTACTTTACCACTGACAGAGTGACACTTAAGAAACATTAATCAGCCAGCAACATGTGTGGCGGTATAGGGCAAGATACAATAAGTATTTATTTGGGTTATGGTAATGACACAAGAGAAGAAGAGGACAAATATGGTAGCTATTAAAATAAGATGAAATTAGATCTGCTCATCAGAAGACCAAAAAATACCAATGGCCTTTAGTAACTGGGAAGGTGATGATGCCATTAATAGAAAGAATGAGACACTGGAGAGGACCTGGTGAAAGAGGCAATATGTTGAGTTTGAACTATATTAAATTTGAGGTAACAAGTACTGCTGTCCAGGTAGCTTAGAGCAGAGGGTGTGAGTGAATCATCCACATCCACTCGGATGACTGTAGAAGCCATTAAACTGGCAAGGAAGAGGTTATAGAGAGAAAGGAGAACCAGGAAGTTCTTGAGTAAATGAGGCACATAAGAAATAGCCAGAGGGCATAAAGTGTACTTGGGAACACAAGTGGGAGCTGCTAAGGTAGACTACCTAAGAAATTTGGCAGTAGAGTGAAGGCCATAGATGAGAGAATAAGAAGAGTAGATTTAGGATTGAGGGCCAGAGACAGTCTTTCATTAATGCTAAATAATAACTTGCAGTTATTATTCATCCTTATTATATATCATTGAAATAGTCAGTCATTTCTGGAGTATTTTTTCTCCATTTTAAATTAATTAATAGTTCCAGTTTTTGTACCTTGTACTGTTTTTTCTAAAGCTTGATATATGTTGTTCAGATGTTAAATAGGATAATAACATTTTTATTTCTGCTTTTTTTTAACACATATTCTAATGTTTGTGATAAGACATCTCAGATCCTAGTTAGTGGTCTTATTATACCATAGAATAAAGGATCTAATTTCTGTCTATAATTGCATATATCTTGTCTATTAGTCATACTTCGTTAAGTTTATCAAAACAATTTAAATATTTGCACTTAAGAAATAAGAAATTTGGTGGTTTCTTTTGCCCATGCCAATTCTGGCATGTCTTCGTTTCTTTTCCCCTTTCTTTTTCTAATAAATGCTGTTTTAAAACTTAAAAAAAAAAAGAAGAGATTCATTTAGATATACTGTAGAAATTGAGTTGATGTGCAGTTTATTTCTGTGTGAAATATACTCACAGAGCCATAATTTGCACAAATGACCAATCCCAAATTGAGTGGCATAATTTTGCTAAGTGTCAGATGTCTCAAAATACATAAAGTATTATTTGGGTTTATTCATGATTCCTTATTTAGTGGCATTCTTATTTATTCAGCAATTAATAAACTTTAGCGCCTATAATAAAGAATACAAAAGATATGTAATTTTATGATACACTTCACAGCAAATCTATTGTCTTAGATTGTTCAATCTGCCTGTAAACATGTTCTTTATATGTGGTTCAAAGTAGCCCCTTATCCCTTTTAAGCATCATGACACATATACAATGGATGTATATGATATGTATGATAGGTATTTTGCTCTCTTTTTTTTTTGAGTTGGAGTCTTACTCTGTTGCCCAGGCTGGAGTGGGTTCACAGCCCCTCTACCCTCTACCTGCTGGGCTCAGGCGATCCTTCCACATCAGCCTTGTAGCTGGAACAACAGGCATGTGCCGCCACACCCAGCTAATTTTTTTTGATTTATTGTAGAGATGAGGTCTCATCATGTTGCCCAGGCTGGTCTCGAATCCATGGACTCAGGCAGTTCTCTCGCTTCCACCTCCCAAAAGTGCTGAGATTACAGGCATGAGCCATCGCACATACCTGGTATTTTGCTTTTTTATTCTGAGCTATGTAGGGCATCTTTCATTTTTCCAAACCTATTATCTTGGTATTTTCCAAGGTGGTGGTAGTATGACCTCACAAAGTTTTTAAAAATAATGAAGGTGGGCGATAGATAGATTTGGGAAGATCTTATTAATATGTGAGAAGTGAACTTTGGCATCCTTCTGCTAATCTCATCATATCTCACTCCTAGGTATTTTAAACAAAGTAGAGCAAACTGAAATGTCACTGAATTTAACCTTAATTTTATAAAATTTTCTCTCTCTTTTTTGGCATTTTAAAATACAGGGTATATTCTGCTCTCGAGGAGAAAAGATCCTTATGGCAGACGCTGATGGAGCCACAAAATTTCCAGATATTGAGAAATTAGAAAAAGGACTAAGTGATCTACAGCCTTGGCCTGTGAGTATAAGAATATAGCCTAAATGACATTCAATCAAGAATACAGAGGATCCAAAGTAAAATAAGAGGAAATTTACCTATCAGTTAAAACATCAGGTTTTGGTGTGAAATTCTTATATAAATGTTATAGTTCCATAGAAGAGCAGATCATTTTGTTACAAACACTGGCTCATTTTATATGATTGATTTGACAATTTTAACATTGTAGTCCTCTCTGTCTCTCTTGATCTCTAATTGCTTCTACCAAAGTTTTAATATTTATTGTTGATATTCAGTTAAGACTTTTATTTAAAAGCATAGCCTGAGATTTTCAGGTAAATGTGTGAAATGGAATTGGATCATAGAACCCAGTTTTTGATGAAACAACAAACTAAACATCACGAGCAGCTACCACCCACAAAAGATTTTGTGAAACGTCATCCCATAACTTCAAAAGTTGAGATTAAGAAAAGAAAGACAATCCTGGTGCCATTCCCACCTTTCAGAAGCCATTTAGAGAATGAAGGTGAATTTACCAAATCCTGAACTTTTTATCAAATACCTCCCAATCTGGAAAGAATCAAACAGAGAATGAAAAAGTACCTTGGACAGCATCAGACAACACACCCACCTACCATCTCACAATATGTCAGGATTTCAGCAGAAGACTTGCTAGAGCTCACCATTTTCAGGACTTCAAGCTAAACCAGAGTTAGAGATCCATGTGATTAGATCCATTCCTCAGTAGAATGAACCTTTGTACCAGACTTGACAAAATCTCAGAAGAACAAGGAACCCAACAAAGCTACATAGAGCTCCAGAGGAGGGTCTCCACCCATACCCCAACCCGGTTTCAGGCATAGTACTCAAGCCCTGAAGCTCTAGTGCAGAGTGTGACAGGTGGAAGTATGTCAAGGAGAATTCACCTGTCCTGTGGGAGAGCTGCCCAAGTTAATTGTGACAAAATGAAAAGAAATACGTGGCAGTTGCACTAATACATTACTACAGAAAAAGAATAAAGTTTCATACCCAAGAAAAATAAACTCCTTCTGAAAGACAATGTAATTCAAGGAGAGAAGAACAAATGTACATGCAAATATTTGGGCTAAAGAGAGAGACTATATAATGAACACAAGAATTTGGCAACACAGATGTTCAGTAGATGAGATGACAAAACAGAAGAATGATATTAAAAGAAAAATTACAGAACTAAGGAAGCAAATTGAGGACCAAAATAAGATCAATGAATATGTGATGGCTCACACCTATAATCCCAACACTTTGGGAGGCCAAGGTGGGAAGATCACTTGAGGGCAGACATTTAAGACCAATCTGGGCAACATATAGCAAGACCCCATCTCTAAAAAAATTAAATTAAATTTTTTTTAAATTTCAATAAATGAATGAAATAGACCTAGTTTAGAACTAAATATTATTATATATTTGTTAAAATAATCACTATTCATTATAGCTAAACCAAACACCAGAAAAGAGTAAGTAAAACTTACAAAGCCCCCAAACCAGAAAATTTTTAAATAATTACAAAAAAAACTACATATCTTACTTCCTAGTAACAAATATTTATTTCATTCTAGTTTTTAAAGTATTATGTTTCTCCCCACACCATCACCCACCAGTATTCCCCTTTATTTCTAGAGGAAGTTTTGTTTAAGATACTAAATGAATGAACTAATATAATCCTTAAATAAAATAATTGGCTGTAAAAATATCCCTTATGTCTGTGCTGTTCAAAACAGCCACCAACTACATATGGCTATTTAAATTAAATAAAAATTTTCTCAGTTTTATTGGCCACATTTCAGTTACTTGTGACTAGTAGCACCTTTTGGTTTTTTTTTTTTAAGAGACAGTATCTCGCTATGTTGCCCAGGCTTGACCCAAATGCCTGGGCAGAAGTGATCCTCCCACATCAGCCTTTCAAGTAGCTGGGACTGCAGATACTTGCCATTGTGCCCAGCTAGTAGCTACCTTATTTGATAGTGTCACAGAAAGTTCTCTTGGACAGTTCTGCCTTATATCATCTGATATGAATTTATTATTTAATATGTTACGGTTCACTCTTAATTTTAAAAGGTACTCCTTTTCCCACCTTTTTATAAATCATGATAAGCTAAAAGGAAAATCCAATTGGTAAAATTACTCAGTTTGATTTCCCAGGTCTCCCCAAAGGACCTACAGAGACTTGACAAATGTTTCTCTTGCATTATCCCTCTGGCTCAGGGAGCTGTGAGTAGGAGAGAGGATGGAAACTGTCAGATTTTTAGCATCTGACTTTGTCATTTTACAGTAAGACAAAGAAAACTGACTTAGCCTAAGTTAGGGAGTGAACCAAGCAATAGAAAAAAATCTGAGCTTGTAAACCCAGTTTGTTCATACTATTCTGAAAAGGAAAGACATTCTGATGCCATCTTTTTTCTTTATTAAAATCCCATTTGCTGCAGTCTCTAAATGTTAAAATTTTGTGGGTTTTTTTGAGTCAGAGTCTTATTTTTTTTATTTTTTTGAGTTGAAGTCTCACTCCGACACCCAGGCTGGAGTGCAGTGGCACACTCACGGCCACCCTAGTGTTGACCTGCTGGGCTCTAGCGTTCCTTCCTCCTCAGCCTTCCAAGTAGCCAGAACGATAGGCATGTGCTACCACGCCTGGCTAATTTTTTTTTTTTTTTTTGTAGAGACAAGGTCTCACTATGTTGCCCAGCCTGATCTTGAACCCATGGGCTCAGGCAATCCTCTCGCTTTGGCCTCCCAAAATGCTGGGATTGAGCCACTGCACCTGGTTAAAATTCTTTAAAGAATTAAAGCATATGATTATAATTAAGCTGTTAATTCACAGCCTTGGTTTTATAGCACTCTAAGGTATGCCTAATTATTTTAAAGTTTCCCAACTCAACGGAATTAATTTGAGTGTAATTTTATTAAGTTTTTTCCAGTACACATCATATACTACATTTCAGAGGAGGTAAAAGGCAGAAGATAAATGATAGGTGGTTAAAATTCTAAAATACATAGTTTTTGGATCATCCTAGTGAAAAATATTTTTTAGTTGGAACCCTCATCTACTCATGGTTCTGACAAAGCTTATAAAGTCAATCACTGCTCAGAAACCTTACATTCTGAAGCTAACATGCATAGAGAAATTAGAAGAAATCTTAATTATATAATTCACATGTTGGCAGACTTTTTCTTTAAAGGGCCATGTGAAAAATATCTTCAGCTTTAAAGCAGGCAGTCTTTGGCAGGTACACAAGTCTTTGGTTGTAGCATGAAAGTCGACATAGACAATAATGTTCTTTACTTATACAGACAAACTAGATCTGGGCCACTGGCTATAGTTTGCTGACCTTTGATCTAATTCAATCATTTATTCAATATTGGAAACTTTTTACAACTACCAAGTGATTTCTCAGTCTCTACTTACATCTCTAGTGATGCCCAAGCAGCTCCTGTCTCAACTCAGTTATAATGTTCCTCTTTATATTAAACGCAAATCTGTCTCCTTCGAATCACTCCTTTCAGTTGGTTCCATCTTTTGTAGCTACACAAAATAATCTACTTCAGTTTTTTGTGACAGCCCTTCAGAGAGTCAAAGCTGGCTTTTTATTTTTATTTTTTAATTTTATAGTTGTGGGATACAATTGGGGATTTGCTACATTAGTAGGTTGCTTGCAGGTGAAGTTTGAGCTGCTAGCTGGCCCATTCTCCTCCTGATAGTGGACTAGGTACCCAGTATATTGCCACATGTCCCCCTTATTCCGTCCCCTAGCAGTGTCCAGCATCTGCCAATCCCACCCTTGTGCTAGTGTGACCTGTGTTCAAGGCCTGCTCAAGAGTGATGAGAACATTAGTGCAATTCTATCAAATTGCCAACGTCATTTTTCACAGATCTAAAAAAGACTACAAATTTCATATGGGAGCAAAAAAAAGCATAAATAGCCAAAGCAGTCCTCAGCAAAAGGAACACAGCTGGAGGTATCACACTTCTAAACTTTATCACAAGGCTACAATAACCAACATGACATGGTATTGGTACAGGAATAAGCACATAGACCAGAGGAGCAGGACAGAAAATCTGGAAATCAAAGCTGTTTTTCATGTGTCTTCTCAATTTCAAGCTATCAGTAGTTCTTCCAGTTTTTAAACATAACATATTTCTTTTTCTTATAATTTTCCACTAAGGATGCTTTAGTTTGTGTGGATTTGTACCACATTACATTGTTATCTTTTGCAGATACTGCCAACTCTTTTTCATACGCATTGCTTTGAACCTTGTCTCCCCATCCCTATACTGGTAGTTTTGTTTCCTTTGTTTTCTTGCTTTGCTTTGTTCAGGAATGAAAGTGTGGCTAGTTCTTGCTATTACACTTCAGCTTATTAGATTCCAGCCTCTAAAGGTGTAGGTTCTTATTCTGTCTTTAATGCAGTAGTTGTTCCCTTCTCAATTCATGTAAGCCACAAATTTGATAAGCCTGCTTTGCATGTATTTCCCTTAAGCCCTAATAAAAATAATGACTGGACTAGTTCTGAAAATAAAACAAACATGAGTTTCAAAATAGACAAATCTCAGCTAATTTTTATTTTAATTACAAGAAAAATTTGTGGCTGGGTGTGGTGGCTCGCCTATAATCTCAACACTTTGGGAGGCCAAGGCAGGAGTATTGCTTGAGCCCAGGAGTTTGAGGCCAGCTTAAGGCACACAGCGAGACCTTGTCTCTACAAAAAAATTAAAAATTAGCTGTCATGGTGGCACTTGCCTCTGTTCCCAGCTACTCAGGAGGTTGAGGTGGAAGGATAGCCTGAGCCCAGGAGGTTGAGGCTGCGGTGAGCTGTGATCATGCCACTGTTCTCAAGCCTGGGTGACAGGATGAGACCTCAACTCAAAGAAGGAAGGAAGGAAGGGGAAGGAAAGGGAGAGGAGGGGAAGGTGGGGAGGGAGGGAAGGAAGGAAAGAAGGAGGAAATTTGCTACTACTACGAACTAGGGAAGGAAGGAAGGAAATTTGC